GAGATGGTTCTCGTTGGAAAAATTACCACGTTCTTTCATCCAGCGAAAAGAGTTGGACAAATTTCAGAGCGAACGAAGACGATACTATATCTTCTAGATACTCGTTCGATTTGCCGCATTTCGCTATCGCATAGGAAATCTCGGAAACACGCAAAAATTTGAAATTCCTTCTACGACCGTCCACGGGCGCGTCAGCGAATAGATAGTAGCGAATTGTGCACGTGCACGGCCCGTACTCCGCTATACCGAACAACCACCTATTGTACCACGGGAACGAGTTGTCCTGAATGGGCGACATTCTGCTCGATTTATCCTGAATTTATAGCACGCCTATCTGCCAAGTGTCGACGCTCGCTATCCCACCATCGCAATCGGTCAATTACATTCGACGAGCGACGAGTAAAAATAGAAAGTAACAATGAGCGAGGACTTTCGATTCACCGTACGTTGTTTGAAATCCAGCTTTTAATATTCTCGTTGATCGCTCCAATAACAAATAAAACATTGCTTGGAAATGTAAGAAAGCGACGTATCTTTTGAAAACTTTGCATTATAACATAATCTTTTGCTACATTTGATCGTGCTATATTCGCGATATATCGTGATATATCCGTAACGATATCATCAAACGTTCAGATTTTAAAAAGGTTGAAGCAAATTTTAACCCTGCCGACCAGGTCGAACGATGAATTACGATACAAGTTACGATCAGCCGACTAGAAAGAGCGTAGGGGAAGCAAGAAACCGAAGTCAGGCTTTCCAGCCACGGATGGAATCGAACGAGAGCGCGATTTCGCGCGCTCCGTCGCTCCGTCCTATGGCAATCCGATACCGATAGCAACACAGTTCCCATTCAACTGCCGCTCGTTCATTATTCTTTTATCCCGGAAACTTGGTATTTTAAAACAAAAACCGCCGACGTCGATCGCGAGCAACGGATAAAAGAAGAGACGAGCAGGAGGGCCAGAATTATGGTTGTCGAATGAAGGTGCGCTTCTTTTTCTCTCCTTTCCGCCTCTGTTTTTTTTTCTTCTCTTTTTTGTCGTTTTACCAACAATCTAAATTCTACCGGCTCTTTCGAGCAGTCTCCTTCCTCGCGAGTGCTAAACTCTTTTCAAGCGCAATTTTTTCTTCGGCCCTTGCTTAATTAAAAATTGCACCGGCAATTTGCGATTACGAGCCAATCGCCCTGCTAGAGAACACTTTACAATTCGACGTTACGACGTCGATTTAGCTGAGAAATCCTTGATCGTTGCTGTCGTGTCCCGCGAAATTCAAAGAGGTCTTTAAAATCGTAGAGGAAGACGGAGAAGAAAAAGGAGAGAGAGAGAGAGAGAGAGAGAGAGTGAGAGAGAGAAAGAGATAAGGGCTTTAGAGGGCTTATAGAGGGAGCTGTTTCACGTTTGAATCTCGCCTTATCGCCGGAGAGTGTTTTTATTGTCGTTATATTTCCTTTGTTTTCTTTGCCCCTTTGTTCCACGGCCTTTGGGTTTTGCACTCGCATCAAGGGCGTCGTTTTCCTACCGACGGTTCTCTTTATTTCGCGAATTCTCTAAACAAAAAAGGATCTTTCGATCCGGTAATCGATGAACGTATATTCAGATCTCTCGACGGCCTTGCAGCGTTTTTTCTATTAGGAGAAATGCTCTACGGTAGACGCGTTAATTGCGATTAATTTCAGATTTTCTTTTGATAGCGTTTGGAATAATTTTGTCATCTGTCGTACGCGTGATACTTCCTAACTTTAAATCTAACGTTCACGCATCTCACGCAACATTTGCAATTTCCTGCGCTTCCGTGGATTTGCAGCGAGCGAGAACTCGTTATCGAACTCCTTAACAACGACCAATCAGGGAAACTGGCGCGCTACTCGAACTCGCGCATCCAAAATACCACCGAATAAGATCACCATAGAATCGAGTTCAAACATTCGACGGATCCTTGCCTCTCTGTCATCCCTTTGAAACCGAGCATCCGCCATCCCTTCTGTCTCATTTCGCGTTTAATTTCGTATTCGAGGGTTCATTTGCTGCGTTGAATGGCCGTATAAGTACTATTCGAGTTGTCGTTTAGCCCGTATCTCCCTCGAAGCAGGTCAGTTTTTTCTTCCTTTTCTCTTTTCACGTCTCTGTTATCTCGGCGTTTCGTCCTCGATAGCAACAAGCTATAGTATTTTGCCAGCGTATAAATAGCTTCGAGAAAGCTTTAACAAACGCTGTTTGTCGAACGCCCATAAAAGACGTACGCGTATGTATCGGAACAAGAAACGAGCTTGCATTTTTTCGTTGCAGCATATAGGAATAAATTCCGATTGGTTAAGACGACTCCGATCTGATCTATCCCGAAGGGATAATCTCACATCGAACGGCAAAGATATTCTCATCTAACGTCGAACGGATTAGGACGGTGGTGATTCAGCCTCGATCGCTTTCGTCTCGTCTCAAAGAGAATTTTCATCGATCGTTAAAAAGCCACGCATAAGGAGCAACGTATCACGGTGGCGATTCTATCGTGTAATTTCCCAGTTTGTGACGCGTAGACGCGGTGTAAACCTAGTTTCTCCAATAAGCAGGACGACTAGGTCCTCGAAGCTGGTCGCTTTAACCGTTGGTTAATCATTTTGCGAATATTTCACCGAGCAATTTTCCCGTTGAATAACGGCCAAAGGGAACTTCGGATTGCATCAACGCCGAGCGCTTTTCTCTTTTTGATCCCTTTAAACCATGGTGAAAAATCTGCGAGCTACGTCATCTTGGTTAAAGCGTTATCCGAATAACGTATATTCGAATTTTCGGACGTATAGTCTTTGAAACAGACCTAGAATCACTGATTGTAGAATGTCTATTTCTACGAGCTACAAATTAGCCTCGTATCATCGCTATTTACTCATTTTTTAACATAATATATACATAATATATACATGCGTAACATATTTGTCCGAATAAGAGCGAAAGAGTTAAGCGAACCGAATTATAGATTTTGTACGACCGAGGATAAATTTTCAGTTGTACAAATAACTGGATTTCTGGTGTAAAAAGTGGCATGGTTGAGAAAGAGCATGCTATCGGAGTAAACTACTATTGTCCGATAAGAGACTTGGGAAACCAAGTTTGAAAAAGCTATTATTCCAACTGGCAATTCTTTTTTCTTCTTTACTCTATTCGGTATTTTTTCCAGAGGAAGAATACGAAGAAGTTGTTCTGCATCGATTAGCGATTTCAGCCCGAAAACATATACTGGCCACTGACCGACTTCGAAGTTAAAAGCATCGTTACGGATTTAATATAAGTTGGGAAAGAAGTCCAGTTTTGCTGGTACTCGAAGTAGAAGGAAATAAGACAAACGAGAACGCCGTACTTTCAGCGAAAGGTGGGGAACAAAATCAACCGTAACGACCGAGAACCTTCCAAGACTTTGTTCGAAGAGCGTGGCAACGCTATGCGCGATCGTAATCCCGCTTTTATGCATTTTCAAATTTCTCGATGTTGCGACATGTAATATTCGGTTCGCTAGCGTTGCACGATGTAAATATGATCGTTGATGGCAGAACCGAAACAAAACGAGAAATTATTTATGAGAATGAAGCTTTGTTTTCGAGTAACTGGAAATTGACGATAATTAAATAGTAACTCGCGTGGTAAAAAGATATTACTATCAAAATTAAGACGACGTAAAATATCATCGTATAACAAAATAAAAATAAAAATATCGATATTACCGTGTATCAATCTGGTCGTATACATGTTCCTATTTACCATAAATAATTCAAGCATAAAAGTAATAAAAATAAAAATAGGGGAGAATGCTTCGCGAAGCACGAAATTAGAAATCTGTTTGCCTAAATCACGGAGGCATTGTAACGTGGTTCCTTTATATGTTTATTAAAAACCTATCTTTCGTTTTCCCTATATTATCGTCCTAAAAGAAAACCTCTTTATGATTTAAAGTCGTCGGTGAAATTTGCAAAATTAAAATTCGAACGCGTACGATCGTAGAACGTTCTTTGCCAACAATTAATTACTTTATTGTTCGACGCGCGTTCTGATCAGGATTAAATTTAAAAGAGGCAGGGTTAAATTTATCGATATCGTCGCTACGATTATCGATACTTGCAACACCGACTGACAACAACTGTCCGAAACGTTTCTAGCTGACATTTTTAACCGCCAGGAAAATCGAAATAGCAAAGAAATACTACGTTCGGATAAACGTTGCCTGTAGTAGAACGGTTCAGAAATGTTCGATGAAAATGTTTTCCAACGAAGCAGTATCGAACATCGTCTGTCGAGGAAAACAGTATTCGCCGGTAAAAAGTATTGGGTCCCCAGATGAGATGTAAGATGAGAGACCAAATATACCACGGTCCAATTTTGTCTTTACAAAAATCTCTTAATCGTAAGATTACCCGATAGATGGTGATACACCCGGTAAGAAGCTAGCGAAAAACCATGCGTATTTTATTCGACAAAATGTCAATTCTATGAAAGTTTTCAAATTTTCTTACCAACTTTCCGAACAATTCGATGTGGTAGAACTTCGCTTATTTGAATTCGTCGAAGGGTGAACAGTTCATATATATATATATATATATATATATATACGTAACTGGAGTTTGTTGATTCTCCTCTCTACTACCTATGATTTTTCGTTGAAATAACGCAAGTTCACGTTCGGACAAATGAATTCGATCGATAGAACTTCGTTTAATCGGGCATTAACCGCAGTTACGTTTCGATAAAGTAAATTACACAGTAAGTGCTTCATTCTCGCGGAATTTCTCTGTCTCTTGATACATCGTTGCTAAAAATGTGTTCTATCGTTCTTACAGATGCGAGAATTAAAATCCACCCGACTCCAGTTACATCGCTTTTGTCAAAATTTGTACATGCGTGGTTGAGAGATTATACGATTAGAAAATTATTCGGTTAACGAATTAGAAGCGTTAAAATGTAATAAAATGAGAAAAAATATTTTAGTTAACAAAGTGAAGAGAAACTTACCGAGTACACCAAGACGAAAATTAATAGAAACGACGATAAGACGACCATAAGCAGCCAACGCAGTGCCGTCGAAGGAATTTCCAGCGCCCCATGAATAGGAATCACCGTGAATTAGAAGAAGGGCTGGTAATAAGTCTGGGGTACTACCTGCAACGTTGGATCGTTATCGTTAATCGCTTTATCTACGGTTACAAGAATTTCTGGTTATTCGTCGAATTTTGGACGCTGTAACAAAATTGGAGAGAAAAGATTAGAATGAGACTGCCTTTCCTTTATGCGAGAATATTATTACGAGAAAATAAAATAAATACGTAAAATGCCGTAGGTTCTAAAACTGGTTAAAAATACGAAGAAAGCCAAACTCATCGTATGATAAAGATTCGTGCGTAGGTATATACGTATATCGGTAATTCCATTATTGTACAATTTTTCCATGATTAACACTTTCCTTTTTTTTTCTTTTTTTTTTTTTGGTTCGAATACGAGAAAAGGAAACGTACGTAAACGAGAAGTATTTTCCTCGCGTGCTCTCAGTTTCGCAATTTTTTCCATTTCCACGGGCAGGTCTGTGTTTTAAACGTAGAATAAAAATAACGCAACTGCCCGATCGGACGAAATTTTTCCTAGCTTCTCCTGGTCCGATATTTTTCGACGAAATAATACCTGGTTAAATTCGATGGAGGTACAGAGGCGTACGTCCATTGTCGATAAAAATTTATAAACGTCGAGCGATTGCGCGGCAAAAGAATCGATTTTCAACATTGACATAATCATAGCGTTTTAATTTCATTCGTTAAACCTTTCGCAAGCTGCTGTTATCCAACGTTAGAATAAAACAATATAGTGGAATCATAGTTGCCCGTGTTATATTACCTCCGTGTAACGAGCTTACAACTATTCTATACTTAAGACTATACTACTAATACTATGCAATAGAACAGAGTATTTGAATATCGCTATCGTTAGTGTTATTATCAACGTTATTATCACTACCGTCTGCATGAAATTTACGAAGCCGCCAGAGTACCATACAGACGCTGTCTGGTAAGGTCTTGTTAGGAAACAGCAGCATTCAACGAGCGAACAACGTAGACGCGGGAATCGATAATCATCGATAGCACTAAGAATTGAATGTCGCGTGGTAATGCAGCCACGTGTATTCGTATATGTATATGTATATTTGATATTCGATATTCGATATTCGATATTTAATACGCATGCGCCCAAATAGTATGCAAATATCATAGTAGAAAATATAAGTAACTTCGGTGGAGGGTTAATCGTAATTTTTATCACTGTATAATCTCCGCGCGGTATTTCGAAACATCTCGACAAAAGTTTTTAGAAGCCCCGTGTTGTACATTGGATATTTTCGATAAATAGCTTCGTACATTTTCGTCATTCGGTGGATATTTAAATCATCGGTATTCATTGGCTACTGTTAATATTCAATGGTAATATTGTAATTTATCAAATCAATATTCATCGATGAAATGCATATTTATCGGTGCTGTGGAATATTGATTTTTGAATAATTTAGTAATCCCACGAACTAATATTTCACGCATCCGATTATTAATTATGTAAAAATTCCATACCCAGTTTCGAAATAATCCACTGTCCGAAGAACAGAAAGCAAGAATGAAACAATTTATAAATCGTTTTTCATTGTTGCGCTCATTTCGTTTCTTTCCCCTAAATCTTTCACGATTTTTCATAATTAAGCAAATATCATTTGCAGTAATTACCTACTGTATATTACTAATAACTTTAATGTACGCTTTTTACATTTTTTATCGTTATTATTATAATTTGTTTATTATTATCGAAAGTGGATAACGGACATCTTCAAATGGAAAAAATTAAAACGTGTACAAATGTTTCGTTTATCATCTAAATTATTTACTTTCGTAAATTGCAAACGCGATAATTTAAAACAATTTAAAAATGAACACGACTTAAAACGATAAACTTTACCATAAAGTTAAAATATAATCTCCACGTTTCGCGATAAGTGTCGAATAACAAAATTTGCATATACTTTCCGAGGTAAAAGGACGAGAAAGAGGACGAGCGAAGCAAGATTTAAACATGTAGCACATCATAGAAAAGAAGTACCTTGTCGCGTGGTAGTTTCCTGTAAAGTCTTTAATAACGGTTAGCGTAAGGGTGCAACAACAACTTTAATTTAGAAAATACAGTCGAGCAATTAAGTTAAAAGCTAGCCAAGCACTCAGGTGCAATTGCGAATAACGTACAGAGTTTCTTCACTCTCGTAACGAATCACAAGCAACCAAATATTGTCCGGCTTTCCAATTTATAAATGGATAGTGCTAGAAAACCATTATGGAGTGCCACGTACGATCGAGTTATCGAACACGTCGTTGTACATACATCGGTTGAAAACTGTGGAAAATATAATGCTACGTACTGCTGAAACGCCGTACGAACGTTAACGCAAATAAAGGCGATCATTTGTATCGTTATTTTTTGAGACACTTTCTTAAGGTAATGTCTCTTTCCGTGCATACAATTTTATTTTCACATGTAAAAATAACACATTTTTACTACAGATATATCGCACTTTACCATGAAGAAGGCAATTCGGAAAACGTGTTTCTCGAACGATCTTCGCATCTTTTGACAAACTAAAGTTTTTCAGTCGTACGTCGCTTTTATAGCAAAGGCGTAATACATAAAGTACGAGTTTAAAGTATGTACATCGTATTTGACGAATGATCTTCCTGAATCTTTGCTGTTTGCGTCATAAAGTAAACCACGATCGGAGGAATTATCGTTTAGATTATGAAAATAATGAGAAATAAATTCAACGCGGGCTTTCGTGCATTCGTGACAACCGATAAATAGATATGCAAAAATGTATAAAAATCTGCAAAGATACAAAAGTACATAAAATACCAAAAATGAGTAGGGAGCATACGTTATTATTATTGAAAATCCTGTGGCTGTTTTCAAATTTGAAAATAAAAGCTCGTCCGCGCAGTATCTCGACGGTTTAGATCGACGGTCGACTATTTAGATATAATAAAACGGATCTTAACGCTGCCATATGGATAAGGAGCAGGTTTGCCAGAAAGATCAATTTTTTATGAAGGCCGATTATCATTTACGTTCGTAAACGGCAGAGGGAATAGGCTGGAGAACTTTGTATTATATCGTTACTCCACGGTCCAAGTTACGCTCACTCCACTCCCTGAGGACGAATCAGCACGTTCGCGATTCATGAAATCACATAATTGTCCATGAACGAGCCACGACGCTCCTACCGTAGCGCTATAAGCGATGGCGAACAAGACGAGACGTCCACCTGTTGCAAAATCGGACATGACACTGCGCTATCGTGCCAGACCGGACAGATAGGTGACTAAACCGAGCCTCTATCAACGTATCCTCTATCCGATAAACCAGAGATCGTATCTTGGATAAATTTACGGGTGATCCGATATTTTGCATTACCTCTGACATCTGCACCGCCTAATCTACCCTTATCGCGGTTCGGGACATCTGATCGCGCATTACCCTCCACTGTGTTTGCGAATCGAAATTTTACCAGATGCGTTATGTTATCTGAATCGATGCTGCGTGGACGTTAAACGTTGCTTTTCAACACTTTTTCCAGCTTTCTAACTTTGGAGATTTCTATAGCGTAAGGATACTCAACGAATCAACGAAACTTAATATTCTAATATACACTCGTTTGTCGCAATTTATTTACGACAATATGCTCCCATTAATTAAAACGTGAGAAACTAACGATCGGTATCAGGCATCTCGGAGTTTATAAGTTTTCGATATTTTCAAAAGTTTCGTGTCGCGAAAATAGAACGTTTAAAAACAGTTTAGCACAACGAGTCGTGCCTCGTTCCTTTCGCAAGACACGAAATTGCGTATACAGGCTCGGTAGCTTTATTTTCTTTCGTTTCGAGTTAGACAAATACAATGTCGAATTATTTTACCGTGTAGGACTGTGTAGATATTGCGTGTATACGTGCTTTGTTTACATTTTAGATATATACATTTTTTTTTGTGTAGATCGTTGATCTGTGTACCTGTTTTTACCACCGGCCTGTGCGCTCCCCACCCCTGTCCCCACCACTTTGGAACTTGCTCAGCGAAACTAAGATACAAGGAGTCATTCAGTCGTCTCCTTTCGTACCGACAACGTGGATCGCGTTGCGTCAGGTTTGTAACCTATTCTAATCTATTGGTGGCGTCGATTCTTCGTTACTATCGTTACTGTCATTGCTATCGTTTAATTAATACCCTTTTCTTATTTATTTTAAACGATACTGTTACCGGTAGCTTCCATCGTAAGCTTTCGTAATAAAACTTGAGTTTGATTGTGTTTCTATTTAATTATTTTTATACATTTGGCGCACGTTTCTGTAGTATTTTCGTAGATGATAAATTAATTGATATTGCAGATATACCGAAGCACTCTCCGCGTTTGATTTTGAGATTTTTCTGTTTCATAAATATTACCAATTAACGTTGCGAAACAAGAAAAATATTCAGTTCCGCTCACGGTTTGTTAAACGCGTTTATATAGAGTGGAAGATGATCGAATTTTAGCAACCCTTCTGGCTACTGCTTCGTTCTTTTTTTCGGCGCCCCTTATTACTACGTTTATTACTGAAAATACCGCTGTACGAGATATATTCCTTTGTTAGCGATAACGTTACCATAATTGCGAAAGTACAGGGCTTTATTACGAATGTAATATATATATATATATATATGAAATTGTGTTCGATTTCGATTAATGTTGCTACGAAGGCTTGAACTATGTCTTAAAATCTTTTCGACCGCGATGTTTTCCACCTTTTAACGGTAATGTAGAAAAAGTTGATTCGCGATCATCGCCGCGTTTGTAGCAAAAATTCTGCAAAAAATAATTTATGCGCATATCTTTCGGTTCACTATGTCGCAAGTCACTATGTTGTTGCAGGAAATAACAACAGATACTGTTAAAAGACAAAGCAAGTGATTTTATGATAATCGAATTTTCTCTTACCTTAGTTATATCAAATGAAATTTTCAAGTTTTAATTCAGTTTAAATTCAATTACTTAAAGTTCATTTACTTAAAATTCTTGCTTTCAATCTTCCTAGTTTCGATCAAAAAGA